CACGCTGCGCTCGCCACGGCACTGGGCTCTCCCCGGATGCTGGGCCCGATGACCTCTTCCTCTGGCCAGCATTGGCCGCAGCACGCGACATCTTGCCGTCCGCACTCTGGGGCCGCTGCTGGTGGCGCTGTTGCTGCGGAGCTGGGTGGCGCTCCCCGAGGAGCCCGCTCGCACGGATGGCCCTCAGAAGAACTCGCGCCCGTGCACGCTCCTCTCGGGCTCGCCCGTGCCAGGCGCTCTCGCCTGCGCCCCGGCCCGCCCTCCGGCCGCCTGAGGCCCCGCCCGCCTGTGCTCCGTCTCCCCATTTTCGTGCTTGGCGCGGCCCGCCTGGCTCTTAACCCTGAAGAGGCTCGCTCTCGACCCGCAGGCCAAAAAAAAGAGTGCCAGGCGCTCTCCCCGGGCTGGCGTGGCCCCCTGCCGCCCTCGGCGGCGGCGGGGCGCCCAAAAGGCGCCTCCTGGCTCGCGGCTGCCTCTGCCGCGCTGCGGTGGGCTGCGCGCCCGGGCCCAGGCGGGGGGCCCCTCGCTGCGCTGCATGGCCCGCGGCGCCGCACGAGAAGGGGGCGACGGCGGCCGACCCCTGGCGCGCCGGCGGGGGGGGGGGCCTCTCCTCAGCCCGTGGCTTCCTCCTCCTCCTCCTCCTCCTCCTCCTCCTCCGTAGCCATTTTGGCTCAAGATGATGAGTTCCTCAGGGGAACACGCGGATACCGCTAGTCCGCGGCTGGCAAGACTTCCTGAGGTCTGGCATCTTCTTTGGTTCTCCACACCAGCGCTCGGGTCGGTGGGTAAACGGAGGCCTTTCCCGTTCCTGCCGGCCCGAGCGCATCCAGACTCAAAGCCATGGGCCCTGTGCGGGAGGGCACGCAGGGTGGCGACGGCTGTGATGCTGGCGCTGCTGGGCGTACTGGGGGCAGCAACAGATCCTCGAGTCGGAGCGATGCATCAGACGGCGAGCGGTCTGCCTCCCGCAGTGGAGAAGGTGCTCGTCGGCGCCGACGAAGACAGCATAGAGAGCGTGATCGCGGGCGTGGTCATCTACAAGAGCGGGACCCCTGGCGTCATGGTGGTGGACGTGGAGGCAGGAGCTGCACGGAGGGGGCGCACCCACCTGGAGCAGATGCTGCTGCTCCTGTCGCGGCCGCGCCGTCGGGGGGAGGAGCTCCGGCACTGGCTTCTGCTGCAGGGCTGCCCGCCAGCGTCGCGCAGGAGTTGGAGCGGATCCTGGCCGAGGCGACTGCCAATCTCTACGCAACGACGTCGGCGGCCCAGACCCAGATGGCCACGGTCGTTGCCGCCCACGCTCAGGAGTGCTCGGCACGGTTCGCGGTGGTCGACGCGGATGTTGCTCGCATGCGAGATTGGCAGCACAGGATCGAAGCGTCGAACGAGGAGCTGCGCGCAGCGGTCCAGAGCATCTCGGAGGCCCTGGAGCGCGCGGAGGCCCAGGTCCCACTCTTTCAGGCAGCTAAGCAGGAGATGTGGGACAGACCCGCCGCGCCGAACCTCTTCCAAATCCAGGTCGAGACGGGTGTCACGAGCGCGGAGATTATCTGCGGCCTCGAGGAATGGTTCAAGGCTGCCACGGTGTCGAGCGGTCAGTACGCGCTGCACTCCCTCCCGTCTGGGAAACACTTCGTGCTGGAGCTCACGGGCGGGGTGGTGGGCTACGAGCGCGCCAAGAGGTTGGTCACGCACCTCCGCATGCCGGGTGGGTGGAGGAGCTTCACGGCAGGTGGCCGCAAGATGTACATCAACGCGGACAAGTCCAAGCGGGCTTTGCGGGTGGAGCTCCACACCAAGCGCCTTGGCCAAGCTCTGGAGGAAGTGCGTGGAGGAGCTGGGCGCTGGTGGCCGAACAAAGCGAAGGGGGAGGTCAAGTTTGACAATGTGGAGGTGGCCAGTATCCTGGTCACGGAAGAGGATGCCCCGACGGAGCTGCGCTGGAACAATCCGATGGTGGCGGACCTGGGCATCGACAAAAGCAAGGTGCAGGAGGTGTTCAATCGCATGGTCGGCAGTGGCTCCAGAGAGGTACAGTGGTGTCCCTAACACTCGCTCGACGCGGTGGCGCCTGTGGCAGTACCATTACAAGGAGGTATTCAATAGCTCCCTGAAGATCATATCGTGGGATGCGCGTGGTTTGCTTCTACGGGATCCTCTTCGTAGGCGATGCAAGCTTGCAACCTTGAGGTCGTATAGGGCAAAGAAGTATGTAATCATGATGCAGGAGACGCATGACGCGGTGGGCATTTTGGAGGCGTTCGTGCGCTCGCAGTCGTACCCCTACAAGTTCCACTTCTCTGCGCTTCGCGAGGGGTGTGGCGGAGGTGTGGCCATGCTGATCCCATCATTGGAGCAGTATGACGGGGGGGAGATGCAACCCTCGTGGCACCCAGATTCGACGACCTCGGAGCTGGGCCCTGAGCGAGTATTAATGATGAAGGTCTGGGTGATGGCGTGGAAGCCCGACTCGGTCACACACTTGCCTGCAGAGGCTGAAGAGTGCCGTGTCGGGGTCACTCTCATCAACGTGCACAACCACGATCGCAGCGGGGAGGACAAGTCGAGGGTGGCGACAACCTGGCGGAGGGCAATGAGGGAGGTGCGCAGGTCCCCGTTGCAGGAGCTCTGCGTTGTGGGCGGCGACTTCACCCACCCAGTGGGGGATCGACGCTACTATCGCATGCCGACGGACTTGCCTCGTAGGCGGGGAACTGACGGAGACGTTCAAGAGAAGTGGGCTGCTGCCAAGCGGCCCCTGGTCTCAGCGGCGAAGGCCACGAGGGGCCGCATGATTGCGCTCGCGGAACTGCAGAACGTCTCGCAGGGCGCGGAGCTCTTCGCCCTGGTGACGCGCTCGGTGGCCAAGACGGTCTGGTCGAACGATGGCACCACGGCGCCCTTGCTGATCAAGTTCTCTCCTTTGGCTTGGAGGCACCTGCGCATTCAAGATGGCAAGGTGCTGGCGAACGACACTCTGGTTTTCGGGGAAGTCGTATGCTCCACCATGGAACGTATGCTGGATGTGCGGCGTAAGGGCGCTGCGAGACGGGTCCGTTGCGCCTGTGCGACGGTGCAGGCGCTGGAGGGCGAGTACTGGAAGAGGGAGCAGGGCAACATAGTGAAGAAGGCCCAGCTGTGGCTCCGCAAGCTGCCCGTCTGGCAGCTGAGCGGCGTCAAGGTGCGGGGTACGGAAGAGCTTTTTGTATTATTTGTGTTGGAGAGCGTCTCCGTGCGGCCATTCGATGTCACGATGAAGAACGCTGTCGCTATGCTGGCTGCAGTGCGTGAGTACTGGGGCCACATCTTCAGGAAGAAAGATATCGACGAGGTGGCGGCCAGGGAGTACATCGTGCGATGGCCAGTGCCCGCCAGCACGCGCGAGGACTTTGCCTACAGTAAGGAGGATCTACTGCGGGCAGCTCAGCGGGGTCGCGATGTGGCCCCTGGACATGACAGGCAGAAGCTAACGTGCCTGGAACACAACTTGGCCAAGTGCTTCCTGGTGCCGCTGTGGGCGCCGATCTCGGAGGCGAGCATGATCCTCGTGAAGGGCGTGTTCGTGGTGAGCACTGCTGGCTGGTCGGGCTTCTCGGTCGACTCCATGACGAAGTACCTGGGCTGCTGGCTAGTGCCAGACGCAGACCTCGCCAGACTGTGGCACGACTCTTTGTCCAAGTATGCGGCGAGGATGAGAGCGCCTGGAGCCAGCGCCCTGTGCAACGATGCAGTGGCACATGCGTACAAGGGGCTGGAGATCCCGTGCCTGCTAGACGTGGCCATGATGCCCCCGATCCCCGACGTGCGCGGGGGCAAGGAGCGGGACCTGCTGCGCGTGCCGCTGTGCGTGCCGACGAAGTCGGACAGGAAAGACTACCTCCTGTCGCTGGGCCCCTCCTCGGGCGTCACGGCGCCGCTCTCCCTCTTCGTTTCGGCGGTGACGGCGTGGCTGAGGGGGGCGTGCAAGCTGCCGAGAGAGTGGCTCGCCTTCCTCGAGGGCGTCGAGAGCTTCGTCTACGACGTGTGGGGCGTGGCGCTGGGCAGGCTGGCGGACCTGCCGACGGACCTCTTCACCTCGTCGTGGTGGCAGGATCGTCGAGGGCCTGCTCGCCACCTCAGGGACGCCCTGCTGAGCTGCACGCTGACCAGCAGGCCCAGGAACGGGCATCGGACGGTGGCCTGTCTGCGCGCCGCGAAGAGGCGGACGTTGGCAACGGAAGCTGCTTGGCTGGCGCAGCCCCATCGTGAGAGGAAGAAAAGGTCGGCTGCGTGGCACGCCCTTGTGCCCGCCACATGTGTGTTGGCGCAGAGATGGGAGGCGCTTAAGTGCGTCCTTCGCAATAGAGGGATGGGGGTGAGGTGGGTGGTGATCAAAGTAATGCGCGGTGCATGGCCCACAGTGGCCAGAATGCATGTCACTAATAGTCGCTCGGCCCCCTGTAAGTTTGGCTGTGAGAATGGATCTGACAGTACGTCACAATATTTGAGGTGTCGGCGCCCGTGGTGGGTCGCCTGTTTTCCTAGGGATTCTTGTTCTAACTCTGTATTACTGAAGCTTTGTTTTGGGTCCCAATGGGACCACGCCTCGACCCCCGATGACTCGCTCGTTTGGTCGGTCTTGAGGCTTAGCCTGACGCACCAGTGGCACGCTATCACTTCAGCGCATCCTGGTTCTGGGCCACAGTACTTACTTTGTTGCCCTGATACTGCACGTGCACGCACGGGTAGGTAGGCGACTCTTCCTCTGGAGCGACGTTCGCTCCTCCTCCTCCTCCTCCTCCTCCTCCTCCTCCTCCTCCTCCTCCTCCTCCTCCTCCTCCTCCTCCTCCTCCTCCCCCTCCTCCTCCTCCTCCTCCTCCTCCTCCTCCTCCTCCCCCTCCTCCTCCTCCTCCTCCTCCTCCTCCGCCTCCTCCCCCCCCCCGCTCGGTCCTTCGGAGCCCCGACGTCCAGCTGCTCGGCGGGGAGATCCTGCACTGCGCCACTCTGCCACGGCCGAGGCCGGG